TAGTGGCTTTGTCATCTCTAGTCACCTCTATACAAAGCCCATGGCCAAGGCTGTTTTAAACAGCATTACCTGGGCCCTTACACATAGAGTGCTTGATACAGGATGTACCAGGGCTTTTGCTGATATGGGGCAAGCATCCAAGTACCATGAGCTTGCAGCCGGAGGCAGAGCAGTCGCTGCTATGCAGTCGCTGCTCAGCTCCACGCAGCAGTCCCTTGAGGTTTTTGCAGAGGCCTCGTTTCATGGCATTTGGAAAATGCTGTGCTCGAAAGGGGAAGGATGCTGTGGTTGTTAAAGCAGTACGGTCAGGAGAAGCTGCATTTGGTTCCTGCCCCTGCTGCTGACTTCCTGTGGAGCTGGGGACCAATCGCTTACCATCTTCTAGGCTTTAGTTTCCTCCTCTGCAAATGAGATTGAGTTCTGACTTCCTCCGGGGTTTGTGAGAAAGGATTTAGTGGAGTCCGAGATGCTCCGTGACTAAGTACCAGAGATAGGCTTTCAAGCTCAGGAAATGTTCATTGTTAAAGAAGCAGCTGTGCATAATTGTTGTGAACCATGTTAAATATGAAGCTTGTGCTACACACACAAACACACACACACACACATGCACACACACAGTTATAAATCTATATACATGTACATACATACATAGATACATACATATCTCTATATCTATCTATCTATATCTAGATATATATTTAGATATATAGATAGATAGAGAGGTATGTATGTATCTATGTATGTATATATATATCTAGATATATAGCTATCTGTAGATAGGTATGTGTATATAGATTAATAACTCTGTTGTGTATCTATAGATAGCTATATATCTAGATATATATATATACACATACATAGATACATACATATCTCCATATCTATCTATATCTAGATATCTATTTAGATATATAGATCGATGTAGAGATATGTATGTATCTATGTATGTATATATAGAGATATAGATATCTATAGATAGATACACTCACAGTTATAAATCTATATACACATATCTATCTAGATATAGAGATATGTATGTATCTATGTATATATATCTAGATACAGGCATACCTCGGAGATATTGCGGGTTCGGTTCCA